GCTCCTCTCAGGAGGAGGAACCTGAAGCAGGAAGAACCTCTCTTGAGGTGGAACCTGCCTACCTCAAGGAGGTTGCCCTTCATGCCATGACATGCTACGCATACGATGAAGGAAACCGTTCTTCCTCCGACCGTGCGGAGGAGAGATCCTATCTTTCATGTCCCGATATCGCTCAGTGCTTTGACACCGACACCAAGAAGATGGTTGACTATGCTTGGAGGCCTGTGACTGATGATAAGCTTCTCGGATTCTTGGGCAGTGTTGCTTGTAAGAAAAGAGGTTGGTTCCCTTATGAGAACGGGCATGCTCTCGTTTCTCACAGGGCCAAGGCTCTCCGTACTCCTGCACCTGTCTATCAGGTCAAGGACTACCCTTATCGAGTTTCCATGATCCTTCGTAAAGGCACACGGTGGATTGTCGAGAGGGCCCATGATCTGAGGTTGGACAAGGGTGACAAGACCTGTTTCCTTGCCTGATAGATCCTTTGCGTGTAATTTTACACGTTCGGAAAATTTACACGCCAAAAACGGCATAAATGATTTATACGCCAAATTGGGGTGTAAAAAAATTACACTTTTTTGTGTAAATTCTGGCGTGTAAATTTTGTCCTATTTTGTTCAATGGGCCAAGCTGTGCCGAAAAGGTGTTTTGAAAAACAGGCACTAGGAAGTGCGACGTGTCGAAAAAGTAGTGGATTCCGAATGCCGGGCAGGCCGACGTGGCGATAGATTCGTATAGATTCCGATAGCGAGATTTGCCGACAGAGACAACATGTACAGTTGTGACTCCGAAGGCCGACATGGCTTCTCTTGTGTTTCGGTGAAAAAACAAAAGAAAAAAGAGAAAGAGAGAGCCAGAGAGCGAGAGTATATCCTCTAAACCACAGGAGAGCTCCTGAAATCAGTTCTTGCTTGTGTGACTTGTGCATGATTGTCCGTGAGACAGTATCACCTACCCCCCGCCATACATCACTGCAGGGCCACTGGCCTGCGGCTTGAGGGCAAGTCCCTGCACCATTCCACGGACCCAAGTGCGATGACGGCCACCGAGGTCCGGGAGTCCTTGGCCAGAGTTCGGCGATTCCGCGGGCTATTCCACCGTTTGTCGCTGGCAAACAGTGTGGAGTCACGTGCTAAGCAACCTGCTCAGAGAAATGCCTGGGGAAGCCGCGAGTTCCTTCTCGGCCACTCTTCGCGAGGTCCACAAAGAGGTCATCTCAAAGCAACGGGCTTTCGGGGGCGGCACAACCCGGAAGCACGACCGCTGAGGAAGGTGCACACCCCTCAGGCATGGCGGATCCACCCTGGCCGAGTGGAGGTGAGACTTACACTGGTGTTTGCAAAGACCACGGGGGAGGCCACACATCTAAACAGCATGGCTTGTCTTGTTTTGAAAAAAGAGAAAGAGACAGCCAGAGAGCGAGAGAGCGAGGTATATATCGGGCAGGGCTATAGGGTTCCCCTGTTCCTTTCTTGGTGTTACACCGAGTTAGGGCAGGGGAACCCTATAGCACTTGGCAGGATGCAGTTTTATTATATGTATCCTAGACCGCAGAGCTCCTGAAATCCATTCTTGCTTGTGTGACTTGTGCATGATTGTCTGAGACAGTATCACCTACCCCCTGCCATACATCACTGCAGGGCCACTGGCCTGCGGCTTGAGGGCAAGTCCCTGCACCACTCCTCGACGAGCGGCAAGTCTGGATGCAGTTCCAGACGGTAGCACTCGACCTCCTCCAGGAACCGGCTCACGGAGGTCAGCTGCTAGAGGCCAAACAGGCCAAGAAAGCGGTCGTCCACAAGGGGATCATGACGGAGGAGGAAGCAGACAAGCTTCCGTCCGGGCTTTCGGGGGCGGCAAAACCGGAAGCACACTCCTGTGACCTTGTGGAAGGAAGGTGCACACCCCTCAGGCATGGCGGATCCACCCTGGCCGAGTGGAGGTGAGACTTATACACTGGTGTTTGCAAAGACCCCGGGGGAGGCCATCTAAAGCCGGAAGGCATTGCGAGTGCACTTGTGATTTTCATGCCGGGCCGTGTGTGTCTCTTCTCAAGCCCGCCCCTGTCCCTTTCTTGGTGTTACACCGAGTCAGGGCAGGGGTGGGTCTCTCGCACTCAGCAGAGGACATCCTTTTTTGCACTTATTACGGGCTGCCGGGCCGTGTGTCTCTTCTCAAGCCCGCCCCTGTCCCTTTCTTGGTGTTACACCGAGTCAGGGCAGGGGTGGGTCTCTCGCACTCAGCAGAGAGGACATCCTTTTCTGCACTTATTACGAACATATAATATGGATGTTTTTTTCTGGTTTAGGATATATATATATATATATGTATATATGTCGGGTTGTCGATACATATATATATATAGGGTGATTGAGAGACGAGCAGAACAAGTTCACAATCCTGTATCGTTGATAGATGCACAGGGTGCTTTGATGTGACCGCCCTGGATGGCCGGCTATGGTGTGGTGGCAGGACTTGCTCGAACAGTGAATGTGCTCCCGGTTTTGGTGATCTTTTCATCTTTGTGTGGCAGGACAGGCAAGCCGAAGATCTGCGGAGCTCCTCGTGGTCCTGGCAAACATTCTCGGTCTTTTCGTGGCAGGACCTCCGAGAGAGAGAGAGAGAGAGAGAGAGAGAGAGAGAGAGAGAGAGAGAGAGAGAGAGAGAGAGAGAGAGAGAGAGAGAGGGAGAGGAGAGGAGAAGAGAGAGAGAGAGAGAGAGAGAGAGGAGAGGAGAAGAGAGAGAGAGAGAGAGAGAGAGAGAGAGAGAGAGAGAGAGAGAGAGAGAGAGAGAGTTGCTTGTGTGCTCACAAGACCGGATGCCAAAGCATGTTCACACATGTGCCTGTGTGTGTGTGGCTTCGCGAATCAGCGGCAGCTTTTTTTTGGTGTGCAACCGTCGGACGGGTTGCGAAAGCATGTTATGTTATTGACAGGTTTTCACAGACATGTGACATGTGGTAGCATAAGCAGCTTTACTTTCTTTTTGTGCCCGCCTGTCCCTTTCTTGGTGTTACACCGAGTTAGGGCAGGCATCTATAAGATGGTTAGCGAATGTATGTTATTGTTATATAGCTTAGATGTGTTTTTAATTGTAGATTTTGTTTGTGTGGGCACCTTTTATATATAGAGATCTAAATTCGTAGCTCCTCGCCATGGAGCCGGCCAGCGGGAGTGTGAAGAAGTTGGACAAGACGGCCCTGGAGGGGCTCGATGCCCGCACCGAGAGCACGAAAGTGCCGGAAGATGTTCTGATGGAGGAGCCAGACCCTCCGTCCGACAACGAGACCATGAGCACCGCAAAGCGGTCCAACAGCAAGCCGGAACATGGAAGAGGCCCTCTGCGTGAGGCGAAACAGGCCAAGAAAGCTTTGATCCACAAGGGGGTCATCTCGAAGGAGGAAGCAGACAAGCTGCCCGTCGAGGAGATTTTGGAGATGGTGAAGAAGCACCGCAAGGGCAGCGGCAACCTGACGGAGGCTGTCTTGGAGCAGCTCGCGGAGAACCAGAAGGAGGACCTCTTCAAGAAAGTGTTTGGAGAGTTTCAAGAGAGCCCGGGCATGAACATGCCAACGATCACGGACGAGCAGGTGGAGGAGGCGGACAAGGAACTCACTTCCTTGTTCCTGTACCAGAAGTGTCCCTTTTGCGAAAAAATTGTGGACGAGTGGCACGTGAAGAATAAGGACCACAAGAGTTACATGAGGGAGCACCTCAGGTCGTCGTACCTCCTCACGGACCCAACTGCGATGACGGCCACCGAGGTGAGGGAGTCCTTCGCGAGAGTTCGGCGATTCGGCGGGGGATTGCACCGTTTGTCGCTGGCAAACAGTGTGGAGTACTGGGGCGATGTGGAGAAGCTTCCGTCCTTGGTGCGGAGCATCCATGCCACCAAGGCGATGCAAGTCAAATACGGCACGTCCAAGACCGCGAAAACGCACCTCCTGACAAAGGAGCAGGTGGGCTTGTGGGTAAAAAGGAGAACCAATAAAAAATAACGATAAGGTTTATAGAATTTTTATAGAATAGTATAGGAAGAGTTCTATAGGTTTAGTTGTGCTTGCTAGCGGTATGCCGGAGGCTTTAAGTCAAAACGCAAAGGCCCTGAAAGACGTAGTATTTTCCAGGAGTGCCGATTTGTCTCACATGAGTCGAGTGAGACAACAAACGAAACAACCAGGTTGATGGGTGGCACATTTCGCCCCCCCCCCCATCCAAACTGTTGTTACAGCAGTAACCAAGCCGAGAGAACCCGAAGTACAGGATGACAAATCTGAGAATGCAATTGCGGAATAAGTTTCGCAGTACTGCTGTGGGACCAGCGCGAGCACTTGCTAGGCATAAGAACCTACCTGACCGCAACGAGGAACCTCCTTTGTCAGAGGACATAAACGACCCGATGCAAAAAGAAACGGATATAAGCCTAAACTGTATTAATTCTCCGCTGCAGAGGTTGTTGAAAGAGGTGACACGGTGTATTGCAGCAAAGAGTGTAAGACAAACATGAAAAGTGATAATATGCAAGTAGAAATCACTTCAGCTGCTGATACTACTGAGACTGTGAGACGTGCCTGCCCCGAAGGCCCAGTTTTCTTGTTACGAGGTCTTTGTCGAGTTTTTTGGCCAGTGCCTTGTGAAACAGCTTGTGCGGTCTCTGGAACGCGCCAGTCGTGAATCCGCATAAGGGCGGGAGGGTGAGGAATTCGAAAAACCGCCAGCAAGCACAACTAATACTGTGAGCCAAAATGTTCGCACACATAAACTATAAAACAGATGTGAACAAGTACACAGATCGTTCTATAGGTTTAGTTGTGCTTGCTAGCGGTATGCCGGAGGCTTTAAGTCAAAACGCAAAGGCCCTGAAAGACGTAGTATTTTCCAGGAGTGCCGATTTGTCTCACATGAGTCGAGTGAGACAACAAACGAAACAACCAGGTTGATGGGTGGCACATTTCGCCCAATAACAACTACCCAGCAACCTCGCTCTCGAGAAGCCCAAAACTATGTGAGGTTGTTCGGCACTCCTGGGGCTCGCACGGTCCATGCTAGCGAAGCATCGCTGGGCGAAATGGAAATGGCCGGCCGAGGCAGCCAAAGATCACTCAGGCGAAGCCTGATGCGATCAACGTCGAGGCAGTCTAGGGGAATGTCGTGTTCACCCGGTCTTGACAGTGCATCTGCTTTGGTGTTTTTCTCCCCAGGTATGTGAGATACATCCAAAGTGGTACGATACACTGCTGCAAGCAGAGAGATGCGTTCAAGGAAATATGCAAGTGGGCGTGAAGTTGTAAAGGATGCATTCACACCTGCCTCCGCACCACTGTTGTCTGAGACCGTCCGAAGCTTGATTCTGGAGCAAGGTATCAAGGTTGAAGATGCGATAATCAGCGCCCCTTGAGCGAGTGCTTCATAGCACGCAATGTCAAGCTGCATATCTTGCTGAATTGGAACCTGAAGCTCGCGGAACTCCTCATATGTGAATTCTTCCCTAAACCACCTTTGGCCTAATGCAGGATGTGACACGAACCCACCAATGCAAGCCCGTTGACCTTGGGCACTGGCGTCAGCTTGTGCTTCCACTGGAAACACTGCTGCCGGTCGCATGCTGATCATGGGGCTCATGTGAAGTAACCATAACTCATAAAGCCCCAGAATGCGCACTGACTCCGCACTCAGGCGGCGCTTGTTGCTGCATTGACTGGATATGCGCATCCAGATACGTCTGTCTGTGATGCGAACACTCTTTTGAACTCTTTGGGTCGTCACTGGTCAGGCTGAGTCAGCCTCGTGTGCCGAGGCCTCCTTGGGCCCGAAGAGTGGTACTAAGTCGCAGTTTGTACAAGCCGTGAGAGAACAGCTACCTCAAGACATGTCGGCATGAACATGAGACTGAACAAAAAGTCATGCCAACATCACTCTAGCTAGGTTTGTTGAGCTAGAGAATGCTTCAAAGAGTTCGTGAACTACGTAGTCGGAAGCAACAGCAGACTGCCAGTGCCACTACAGAAGGAGCGAGACTACAAGCAGGCTCAAGCACTCAAACTGTACACAGTGTTTCAGAGGAGCTCGTGGTGGCACTCAGTTCACCTCGCCAGCGGCCGCCGCTCCAGCAGCCACCGAGTCAGCAGCCACTGCGCCAGCAGCCACCGCGCCCGAAGAAGCGGCCCCAGCAGCCGCCGCCCCATCAGCAGCTGCGTCGTCGTCATCGTGTTGCCCATTTTGGGGTCTTGCAAGGCGTCGTTGCTCACACCACTGGCTGTAAGCTTGGCCAACGAGTGCTGAGAGGTGGATCGCCTGGGTACTCCAAGCAATGGCTTCGCGTCGTCGTGTATGCCAAGTGGCACGGGCAGAGTTGAGATGCCGTTGATGCATCACTGCACGCGCAGCGGCATCGGCTTTGTCATTGAGCAGTCTGCACAAGTCAACTGGCAAGGGAAAGTCTGGCGTCCAAGTGGCTTGACGTCCATGTGCGGGCATCCATCGCAGATTCAATTTTAAACCGCATCTGGTGGAAGTTTCAAGATGTGTGGCGATTTGTTGCACGAGCAGCTGAAGGGTCGCACACGACCGCGACTTAAGTGCAGCAAGCGCGGCTTGACAGTCCACCAAGACGTACACTTCGCCTCGTGCCCCAGCCAAGGCAGCTACAACGCACGTCTGGGCTAGCTCACGGAGGGCCAGAAGCTCGGCACGGTAACTGGACTGGTCTTCGTCGTCGTCGCCAAAAGCAAAAGTCGAGAAACGACCAGCCTGGTGAAGAACGATTGCAGAGCCAGCCACGTCTTCAAGGTGCGAGCCGTCGGTGGCGATGCATGGTTGAGCCTTCTGGTCTGCCGCCAGAAGATTGCGAATAGCATCGGCAAGCTGTGCATGCTGCAAGGGCACTGGCTCAGGCGCAGCAGGGAAAGTCTCAAGCGGAGGGGCAAAGAGCCTTTCAGAGGCGCGATCAGACGGAGGAACGACCGGGTTGGTCTCGCGCAATGTGCTTAGGCCCGGGCAGCACCACGTGAGGTGCGCTCTCGACGGTTCAAGCTTATCGCACATGCACACTTTATCTGCATCAGTTGGTGTTGGGCGGTGGGACCCGCAGTGCATGTGCCAAAAACTGGCTCCAGCTGCAACTGCGGCACGTTTTTGCGCAAGATTTTCGGGATTAAGAAAGATTTTTCTATGCGCGGCAAAACAAAACCAGGCCTGTCTAGGGGGCTTAGGGAGACTAAAACCCGAAGCGGCATTAGGGTCAACCCTGTGGTGCGAAGCTTTAATGCGACCGGCATTGTGCACGCCCTGTCGCACGTATTCTTCCTCCAGCCACTGGCGCAGGACCTTCAAGGAAGAGAATCCAAAGCGAAAAACTCGACGGCACCCGTTGCTATCGGTTTTGGCAAGGCCCTCGCCATGAGGAAGGATGGTCCACTTGTGTTTTCGGACCGCCTCAGCCACCACCGGAAACAGATCCGACCACGGATCGACGGCCTCCCGGAGTGGCACATCATCAAGCCAAGAAGGTCGCTGTGCAACGAAGGACTGGACACGACGAAGGGCTGTGTAATCTTGCATGACAAAGGGGTCTGTGTTCCATCCCATCATGCAGTGCTGCAAGAAGTACGGCACCTCGGGAGTGAAGCTTCTGCGAAATGCAGCAAGGACCTCAGACCTGATGGTGGAGAGAACGGCATCGCCCGGGGAAGCAACGCCAGCACACCAAAAGACAGCCGAAAACCCCAAAGTCCACATGAGTTGAGTTTTTCGGTGGATGGGCACAGGAAGGTATTTGATGAAGCGGAGGCGCCACAGCACACGATCTAGCACCAACCTGAGCGGCTTGGGGGTGCTTCCCGACAAGTCGATTTCGACGCCTAAAATTTCAAGCGAAGTTTTCTGCATGTAGCCCTGCCGTTCCGCCAAGTCCTGAAGGGAAGTGTCGCCAGGAGCTGCAATGACAGAGCATTTGGTGGGTTCGCACACTAAGTAGAAAGCTCTGTCGAACCTGGTGGATCGTTCCACCGCCTGCCCAATGGCTCGGGCAGGGTTGGCACTCTGCTCCGGCCAAAGAAGCCTGTCATCCACATACATAAGGCCTCGGATTGGGCCTTGTATGACGTAAGAGCTCCAAGCCACGCTGACAGCCAACGCCAATAAAGGACTTAGTGGGTCCCCCTGTACCAAGCCTCGTGAAACAGGAGTCCAGGCTGCGGCCGCAAATCCGCCTGCAACGAAGAGCCGCTCGGCACCCGAGTAGACGCTATTCAAGATGTGTTCCAAGCAGCTGGGTGCACCGAGCCGTCTGAGGATCGGGATTACGGCGTTAAGTTGAAGATGATCAAAAAAGCCTTTTAAATCTTGCACGACAAAAGAATTTACTTGCCTTTTTAGGGCTGAAGCAATTCGAAGGTGTGCGTCTGCGGTTGAGAATCCCGGAGCCCCGCCGAAGGCACTCGGGCTGACCCAGGAAAGGATCCATTTTCTTAAACGTCTGCAAAGACATTTTGCGCCGATGCGCCAAGCAACCTGGAGAAGCCCGATCGGGCGTGTTGACGTTACCCGTTTGGGTAACAATGCCACGAGGCCGCGGCGCCATTGCATCGGCGTCTGGGCTCCCTGCAGGATGGAGTTCCAAAGGCGTGTGAACTGGGCCCACCAGGGCATGGGTAATTCAAGCAGATGATCAGACTTCCACGCGTCTGGCCCCGCCGCTTTGCCTTTCATTTGTTTTGCGACTGCAATCAGTTCCTCCGGTTCAAAAGAAAATTCGCCAGGAAATTCATTTGAAAAAGGGGCCCTTTTTGGCACTGTTTCAAGGATGCTTTGCATGGTAGGGGTGGTGAAGTTTAAGCCTGCTGGCGCAGTCCACAGTTCTGCCCACGCCTTGCCATGTTGCTGCAAGATGGAAGTAGGATGTATCGCCGAGATGGCTTTGCTGACCTCCGGTGGCGCGGCGGCCGCATCACAAGCCTGCTGGGCGCGGGCTTTAACCCAAGCGATTTGCTTGTTGGGCTGCACCTGAAGTCGCTGCCTCCACTGAGCCATGGCAGCGGAGCGTTCCTGTGCCACGTAAGCCTCCAGCAGTTCGTTAACGCTGGGCAAAGCCGTTTCCTCATGACCCTCTGGGAGCGAAGGGAGGTCCGGCACGCTCAAGCGAACTCCTTGCAAAGATGATTTTACCTTCTTGCGGAGGCTCAAGTTAGAGGGGTCGCGTCGCAACTCCTGCAACCGGTGACTTAAGCGCCTTAAACCCTGCAGCCCCTTTGATTCGCGACCGTGGACGGTGATGCAAGGTTTTGGGAGTTGCTTGGGTTGCGGCTCACAGGAATCCGAGCGGGGCACGGTGCCGGGCTTGGCACTAAGATCACAGAGGCATTGCTCCGCGGTCCACGATAGCAACCTCCATGCTTCGTCGGTGTTGCCTGCATGGAGGGCCTGCTCGAAGGCTTGGTGAGGCCAGCATTCGCTGAAGGATTCGTGTATATCCTCCTTAGATCGATCCCTGATTTTGGCCCTAGGGGGGAGCTCAAAACCTGAAAAGTTAATCGTAAGGTTGAGGCAGTAGCCTACGGTGGTATGATCACATAAACCTTCATGGTGCCACAGCTCAGTGGGGAAGATCGAAGGATCGCTCAAACCGTAGTCTATGCGCCGCGTTCGGCCCGGGTTTGTGCAGCATAGCTCCATGGGGAAGGGATCGTCCATGGACCTGAGGGCTCCGGACATCAAGTGATTTTGTATCGAGCCTTCTTCTGAAGTCATGTTCCAATCACCGAACAGAATGTGTGGCCCTCGGAATGCATAGCACGCAGCCGCGAGCTCATCCACCATGAGGTTGGTGGTGGGAGGATCCCCCGAAAACCCGTAAATAGCAACCATGAGGAGAGGTCGGCGGGTGTGTGCAGCCTGGGTTTCCACGAGAATGGCTGCATGGCGAGTCCTCGCAATTTCAGTTGTCAGGCTGACGGGGCGGCACTGAATGCGGCAAGCAACGGCAACCCTGTGCAATCCTGAGTGTGGCTCGGCTGCTGCCAAGACGATTTGCCATCCAAGGGTTCTCCATTCCCTAGCGTATGCTGCCGCACAGCGCTTGGGAATGTCAACTTCTTGAAGGGAAATGATATCGGGATTAAAATCCTTTAAGTGCTGGAGGGTCAAGACTGTTCGTGAGATGCCAGCTCCAGCGAGGTTGCAAGAGGCAACCCTGATCACACCTGCGATTGGAGCTCACGCCCCTGGAGGGCTTGCTTGGCCAATGCAAAGATTTTAAGCGTCTCAGCCTCGGACATAGTATTTTTGCTTGGGTGCTTCAGGCACCAAGTGCGGACCTTGGCAAGATCGGCAAGCTTGCGTTTGCGGCCATTGGCTGCAGTGACAGCTTTGCAAGTTTTATGATTGTTGACACAAGCAAGGTTTTTGAAGCACATCTTACAATTGCCGCAGCGCCACGCTCGTATAAAAGAGATTCGGAGGTCTGGCCGGCCCTTGCGAAACTTTTTTAAAATAGGCCAAAGGAAGCTCTCATATCCCTTGTGCAAAAGGTCAGTGCGCTTAGCAAAGGTTTTGGAGACGGCGGCGTTCCATTTCCTAACTCTGGTGGCCTGGGCGTGGGAAACTCCAACATGGGCTTGTTGCCTAGCCGCCTGATTCTTACGAGCATGTTTAGTACGAAGATGCTCTCGGATTGCTTGGGCAATGATTTTGGGGCTGGCCGCCTCCCCCACAGC